AGCAGTTTGTAACAAAATGATCGTGTTTACTTGCCGAAGAGGTCAGCTGAAAATGTGCACCTTCGGTTTGCCACCAGAACTCAAGCTCCGGTCATGGTGATGGTGTGGACCGCCAAAACAACCGATGGTTGTTCTCCTCTCGTATTAATCGCCCGTGGAATTAGAATAAATGCCGAGAATTATCGCGAAAATATGCTGGAGGGTGTATTAAAGTCTTGGGCACGCAGAATGGTTACAAAATGTGGTTCCTCGTTTCATTTCCAGTGCACAGTGACGACCAGAATCTCCGGATACCAATCCGTTGGACTATTGTGTCTGGAGTATTTTGAAAAGAAAGGTTGGCACTAAAAAATATCAAAGTGTCGATCACCTCAAGCAAGCGCTTCGCCGGGAATGGGCCAAGATACCGCAGAACAATATTCGGGCAGCGTGTGATGGTTTCATTGGCCGTTTGTAGGCCATAATTTGTGCCAAAGGTGACAAATTCGAAGAAATCTAAAGTTATTCTAAAATTTGATGCTATTTCCGACATTTTTTGCTTTCCTTCAAAAAAAATTTAAAAAAAGTAAAAAATTATGTCTTTTGACTTTGTTGCATTTTTTTATCTCACGCTGTTTATCTGATGGCTGTTTAAAAAAAGTAATATTTGGATGTTTTCGTATTGGAAACATTCGGATGGTCTCCTGAAATTAAACGATACAGTTCTGCTTGAGAAAAGGAAGAAAGGAAAAGGGTATTCTGTGTATATCCTAAAGAAACATCATGTTCTATGGATAGAAGACCTTACGGATATTGCACGTCTTCTATAGAAAGATTGATGAATATTCTACTAACTTTAGATAGCCTCCTTTATATCATTTATTAATTAAATACATTCCAAGGTTATCCTCTGATTTGAAGACCTTCTATGTGGGTTTTATGGCTAGAATATCTTCTGGAGCTTATCTAAAATATTCAATTTTCTTGAAATAAATTATCTTTATAAGATCTTCAATAGATGGAATAGCCTTCAGGAGATTTTCTGTTGATATGATTTTGTTGGTGACATTTTGGAGATCTTTTAAGATGTTTCAGTAGGTTTTCTAGTAAATTAAACCTTTCTGTGCATTTTGAGAAAATCTTGTGGTAGAAACTTTAAAGAATTTAGAAGACCCATTCCAAAGTTGTTCTTTACAAGGTCTTCAATTCATGGAATAACTTCAGAGGATCATCTCATGATATGCCTTTGTTGGTGACAGAGAGATGTTATAAATCGAGGTGAAATTTTGGCATGCATTTTATGACGTGTGCTGGATTTTACCAGATTTACAATCGTCGGAGATAACCATTGATATGAAACAAAATCCTTGTCTTTTTTTAAATCCTCTAAATTTCATATAAGTTTCTCTTTTGTTTTCATTGCTTTGCGTTTTTCTTTCTTTCACTAGCAATTTTCATGTAAATATATATCTAGTGATTTTTGCCAATACTTAAACTACATCATTGGCGTAGTTATTGTTGGACGTTGACCCCTGCTTTTATTCACCCTAACCCTCACACGATTTCCCTTATAACGATGTAGCTCTGTTCCTAGGAAAATGAGAGAGACAATACCGGTATCACTTGGACGGAGAGGAATGGAGAGGAAGAGAGAGAGAATATGGATATTTTTCGGATTATTATGAAAACCCCTAGACTGAATCGAGAAACCCCATAACTTATTCAGCTACGCCAATGTCTGGATCATCGATTGAAATGAAAACGAAAGACATTGGCACACACCTAATGTAAAAAAACGAAAAAAACTGAACAAACATAAACTGAAAGTAAAAACTCTTCTTTTAGCTTTTTTTACTTGCCTTGACAGTAAATATAATAGGCATGAATTCACATCCAATTTGAAGAGCATAGAGAGAGAGAGAGAGAGAGAGGGATAAAAAAACGGTGAAGATGAAGGCGCATTTCATTAAAAAAATGAAGCTTCAAAAGTCTGCCATGAAATATAGAGATGAGTAACCAGTGGCAATAGTCAATAATAGCAACAACACTTTTGAACAAAAATTTCTCAATAATTGGAGCATAAACAAACTGCAGCTTCGACTAATACTACTTTCTTGATTCGAAACAATTCTTCGCCAAATGGTGAAAAACTATAACTGCAACTGTTAGTTGGCGTTGATGATGAGGCTTCATAGACACATAGGCGTAGGTGGGATGCTTTGGCGTAAATATATCCTTTGTAGTTTCCATTAGATATTATAAATTAAGGACTTCTACAGACAGTGTAATTGTAAATTGATGTTGTATCCAAATTTAAATATGTCGGGAGGAAGCAATTAGAGAAACATTCGCCTCCTAGGTTAGAAAAAAATTCTTACAAAAGTATTAAAAACTTCTTGTGAATTTGGAGATGATGATACTGTAAATATCTTCAGTCAATACAAAAGTTGCAGAGACAATCCTCAAAAAATCTTAAAAAAAAAAAAAAAAAACTGTTGGAAGTGAAAATAATCTTAAATCTCCAGCTCACCCCTCTTGGGAGATAGTGGTATAAGAACATTGGTCGTCCCCCTTCTTTAACTATGCTGCTTCGGTCTGAACTTATTTCCCAAGAAGTGCCCAAATAGAAAGAATGTGTCCAAATAAACGTTGAACAGATTTGCAGCTCAAACAGTTAGGGTCAACCGAATCATTGAACTGTACCGAAAATCCACCTATTCGACACAACTTCAGATGTCGTACGAGGTTATATGGCAATATAGAACTCAGTCAAGATGCTACTTTAATTTCGGAAAACGGGGTTTGTCGTTGCAAAAATTATTTTTACAAAGAGTTGGAGCCTTAATAGTAGCATTGAAACATCCAATGCCGAAATATCTGATTTGGGAGAATTTTTTAAAACCACTAGGCACCGAGAGTCTCTGTTGTAGGAGAAATATGTTTGAAATATTATGCTTCGATGGAAATGGTGTGTAAGTTTTGTAATTTGTCATGAAGCTCCTCCTCACAATTTTCAGATATTGACTTCTGTTTAGTTAGAAAAAAATGGATAATTCCTCGGAGTAAATTTAATTTTCCAGGACCGAAGACAAGATAGGCTTGTGAAAGTGGCTCAGGATTTCAAGCATTATTAGAAACCTCTCGAAAAATTAAGAGTCAAGCAAGAATTAGAGGTTTTAAATGTATGATCGTTGAGTATTTTTTTTTTTTTTGAAATCTCGGGCACGAGAGGCTTTTCTGGAGAAAGAACTATAAACTCCAAAGCAGCTTTTTTTTTTTTTTGAGAGATATATTAGAAATGACTTATAATCCCTCATTGGAAATGACAACGATGTTTTGTAATTCGACATAAAGCTTCTCCTCACAAATTTCAAATAGAGATAATAATAATTCATTATTCCTCAGAGCAAATTTAATTTACCAGAACTCCAAGAGGTATGGGAAACCTCTCTAGAAATTTAGATATAACTAAGAATGGGAGATTTTAAATATTGATTTCTTCTGTTTTTGTAAAAGTAATAAAACTCAGATCCGTTTCAACATTTGAAGAATATATATTTGTTAGGCCTTCTCCTGGCAACTTTTAGAAGTTAGAAAAAAAAGCTCACTGGTGGTATTGGTGGGAAATTTCCAAAAATTTTTGCTATAATAAGTTTTTTTCCTCAATGGCTTATCTGGAAGGTAAAGGTCTTATAGGATCATTAAAGGGCTCACTAGGATATCGGAAGTCAACGAAAGTTGTTTTTCCGAAATTCGATTATTGGAAGAGAGACTTCCTTTGAGTATGAAAAAGCTCTAAAAGCTCAAACCTGACAACTTTTAAAAATTTATTTAAAAATATGAAGAGCCGGTATTGGTGGGAGCTTTCCAAAAATTGTTGCGAGAATAAGCTTTTTTCCTTGATGGCTAATTTGGAAGATAAAGGGCTTATAGGATCATTGCAGAGCTCAGTAGGATCTCGGAAGTCAACGAAAGTTCTTTTATTCGATTATTGGAAGAGAGACTTCTTTTGAGTATGAAAAAGCTCTTAAAGCTCAAATTGCTTTGAATTTTGGAATCAGGAAGAAAACTTTAAACTTTCCCAGATCTCTTGGAATTATTTGAAAAATTTTTTGAGAGGATAGATTTCACCGTCTTCCTGCAACAGACATTTTTTGACATTCTGTATAAATTTAAAGCCTCTCTAGAATTTTTATTCTATCTGAAGTTTTGCTTATAAATTTTAGGTAATGTCATCAAGATGTTTCCTTGGAATTAGAGTAATATCTCCTAACTCGAAATCCGTTTTGTGGAGAGATTTGTATTAGGAGTGGATTCTACTTCAGCGGAAAAAGAGATGTTTGAAAGCTTTTTTGAAATTAAATTTATTATTAATTTATTTATTAAATTAAAAAAATTTCATATATCGCACATAGAGAATTCTCTGGAGTTTTGGAGGCGGATCGTTATTTTTTTTACTATCCTCATCAGAAAAACTAAAATTTATTTCCGCTTTTAAATACTCTAGACACTGAGGGATATTTTCTATAACACTCTTTTTTACCAATCTTTTAGGCAAATGTCCTTTTTACAAAAAGAAACATCCCTAGAATTAGAAGAAGTTCTGCAAAGCACCTTTTCTTTTGGCATTACATTCTGAGAACTTCGGAAAGATAAAAAAATCTCCAAGATCTGTAATTTTACTAAAATTTTGCATATGTTCACAAACATATCGACAACTTAAGGATAATATTTTCGAATCCTATTCAAAAACTAGAACTGCTACGCCACTGTCATTTTTCGAGCACATATTTTATAGCCATTAACTTCATGCTTAATCTGGGCAAATGAATTGGATATCGCATGACGATTTCATTTATTGTTAACAATTTTCTTTCCAACATAAATAGATTTGGCACTTTTTTCCAGAAAAAAAAAAAAACATTTTCAATGTTCATTTAATTTAAAATATAAGCCGTGAATTTGAAAATGTTCGTTTGCTTTAACTATAGTCGCGAGCCTTTTACATTTGGCAGACTTACCTCAAAACATAAGCGGCAAGCGAACTTGTTACACGCACGTTTGAAAAGAAAAGTAAAATTCAATTCAAATCGACCGAAATAAAATGCGAAGCAATTTAACGGCAAATTTCACAAACTTGTTGGCAGTTGGTTTTTTAAGAAAATTTCGTTTGTTTTCTTTCGATTTCTTTTTTTTTTGGTTATTTTCACTATTTTTTTTTAATATTTCACTTCAACTCCTTAGCATTGATTTTCAATAAATCCAATTTATTTGATGTGTGGAATTTTTATTAATTTATTGTAATCTGTTCTATTAGTTTTCAAATATCCAAAGAACAGGAAGTTGTTGGTGACGTTTCTGGAACACTCACACACACAGGTTTGTATTGGCTTCCTTATTATTTTTCGAAAATAACCGTCAACGAGTTTTTTTTTGATAATTTTCAAAACAATTTCAAAAATTATTTTTTTTTATCAACTACTCTTTTTCTTTGCAAACAGTTTGTTTTATTTCCCGTTCGAATGCGTCTGCATCGTTTGCGTTTCTTTGAGAAACTGATCGTATGGAAACCGCCTGCGTCCTATGTAACTACAACGATAGGTAAGAGTCGTGGTGGATGCCTGCTATGGTAGCTTGCTGCTGCTGCTGCTGCCGCTGTTGTTTGTGGTGGAGCTGTTAATTTGTATTGCGGTTGCCACTGCCATCAGGCCAACGATTTACTGTAATTTCTTGCATTCAAGTGGATTTACCCTCCCCATCCATACAGCCGGTCATTCATTCAATCAACAACATAACATGGCAGAGCCGTAACAGTGCTGTCCTCGGTTTTCCACAAGCAACTACGACTTGATTTAGTTTAAGCCATGTTAGTTAAGCGCCAACGTTAACGTCTTATGTTTACCATAAATGCAAACGCACACACTCATACCCTCACCGTACACCTTACCTCCCCACAATAGGCAATACACGGCCGTACACATATTCATCCATCCATCCATCCAACTATCAACCATCGAACCAAGCCACCAACCAACCAACCACCCCCCCTCAAATAGTCATTCACTCTTTGATTTTGTTTTGTGTTGTTGTTTTTGTTGCTGCTGAAATCCATTGAATTTCATACAGTTTGTTGATCTGTTAAGGTTGCCTGTTGCTGAAACCCGGTTTTTCTGTTGATTATGGTCATTATTTTCAGTTGCTGCTGCTGCTGTTGCCAATGTTTTTGATATCTTAACAGAAAACTGTAATAGATAGTCAGATGATGATGTCTCTGAAGATTTGTAGTTTTGTGGTTCTGGAAATGTAGAGCATAGATGGATTTTTGCTGGATAAGGAAATGTAAAGCAAAATATTAATTAATTTAATTTGTTGATGCCGTATGGAATTTAGATATGAACAATTTTGGCCGACATTTTATATGTGTTCTCGGTCAGGAGAGCGTTGTTATGAATGTTAGGTTAGTAGATTTTTTGGGATTGAAAATAAATGAAAATGGGTCAATTATGATTTATATAGGTTTATGCTCTAAGGCATTTTTAGGGTATTCATGATAAATTTCAATCAAATTAGGTTTAAATCTTTTTCAAGCTTTGCAAATAATAATAACGGTCCAAGTTGCGGTATGGTCCCCATATAGCATCCGATATATTCGGTATGTTGTTAATTTTAGGCATATTTTTGAACGAAATTTTATGAAAGTTGGTACTTGGAGTAAATAATTGCTACCACTTTCTTTGTCAGAAAAATGCTTCCGAACTCCCTATATTCGGTATTTTGATATTTCAAGACATACTAAAAATGTTTCCAATTTGGTATATCAGAGTTCTCATATAGAATATTTTCTTATAACGGTTAATGTTTCGTACAGCCCACATACAGGGTGAGATAAAAAAACTGCAAAAAAAAAAAAAAAAAAAAAAACGCCATAATTTTTATTTTTTTATTTTATATTTTTATTTTACTGCTGTCGGACGAGTGGCTTAGAAATGACAGCAGTCTGAAGATGGTTGCAGTTTTTTCATCTCACCCTGTATATTTCGAAACCCCTGAAAAATCATTTTAAAAATTCTATGCTTTTGACAATTAATCATTCTTTAAGAATTCCATTATATTTTGCGGAAATCCATAATTTTTTACAAGTAAATTTTTATGCAACACTTTGTGTTGGCGGTATTATAAGTTTGATTGGGCCAAAAATTAGGTAACACCACGAAATTTTGATTTCCCACATAGGAAAGTATATATGGATCTTCCTATCTCGCCGAGCTGAGTCGATCTAGCTATGTATGTCCGTCTGTCCATGTTAATTTGTAATCACTCTACAGGTCGCACTTATGGCCCGATCTTCACGAAATTGAAAATGGAGGTTGGGTTAAGGTCAGAATAGAACCCTACTTCTTTTGGAGATGGTCGAAATGGACCAAAAACTGAAAAAATCTTGATTTTGTAGTTGCTCTACAGGTCGCAATTATGGACCAATCGACGCGTAAATTAGCATGGGGCTAGAGCTTAAGGCTGGGCAGAAGCCTTCCAATTTTGATGGTCATCGGTCAATACCTAGTGGGTGAAATAGACTATAACATTTGTGTTAAATAAAATTCAAAATTTCCATTAAACCGCGAATATTTTTAATGCCGGCGACGTAGATGCCGATAGTAAATATATCGGATATATATAGCGAAATACATACAATGTGTATAAACAAAGGAAGGGGATGTTAGCTAAAATGCTTATATCTCCAGAATGGCTGGACCGATTTTGACAAATTTAGTCAATTCTGAATGCCCTCCAGGCATAAAAGAATAAAATGTAAAAAAATCGTCTAAAAAGATGCCAGTAATGATGTTTATACAGATTTTGTAGTATTTTGTGCCATTTTTTTATTTTTTCATATTTTTTATCGCATGCGATTTTTTCAATTTGACTTATAATATTGTGGTGTACATTTTGTAATATTTTTTATACCCTCCACCATACAATGGAGGGTATATTAACTTTGTCATTCCGTTTGTAACTCCTCGAAATACTCATATCAGACCCAACAAAGTATATATATTCTTGATCAGCGTAAAATTCTAAGTCGATTTAGCTATGTCCGTCTGTCTGTCTGTCTGTCTGTCTGTCTGTTGTAATCACGCTATCTTTCGAATGAATTGAGATAGATGGCTACATTTTGCACACATGTTTATTTTTCCAGTAGGCAGGTTAAGTTCGTAAATGGGCCATGTAGGTCCACGTTTTCATATAGCCTCCATATAACGGTACCTCCCTATATTCGGCATTTTGATGATTTTAGCGACATTATTCACGGGAATTGTTTCAAATTTGGCATTTGAAGTTCAAAATGGATACTACACCATAAGACGGAAAATTGTCTGTGCAGGTCCACGTCTTCGTATAGCCCCCATATAACGGTACCTCCCTATATTCGGTATTTTGATGATTCTAGCGACATTATTCACGGGAATTGTTTCAAATTTGGCATTTGAAGTTCAAAATGGATACTACACCATAAGACAGAAAATTTTCTGTGCAGGTCCACGTCTTCATATAGCCCCAATATAACGGTACCTCCCTATATTCGGTATTTTGATGATTTTAGCTACATTATTCACCGGAATTGTTTCAAAATTGGTATTTGAAGTTCGTTATGGGAACTACAGTCTGTGACAGAAAATTGTCTGTGCGGGTCCAGGTCTTCGTATAGGCCCCATATATCAGTACCTCCCTATATTCGGTATTTTGAAGATTTTAGGTACAATACGCACCGAAATTGTTTGAGATGTGGTATTTGAAGTTCGTAATGGATGCTACAGCCTGTTACAAAAAATTGTCTATGCTGGTCCAGGTCTTCGCACAGCTCCGATATAACGGCACCTCCTTATATACGATATTTTGATGATTTTAGATTTATTATTCACAGTTTATTTCAAGTTTCGAATTTGAATATGGTAATGGCTTATGACAAACAATGCCTATGTATGTCCACGTCGTATAGACCCCAATATAACGGCTATATTCGGTATTTTTAAAATTTTAAAAGAATTTTTTAAGGATTTTATTTTTTAAAAATTTCCAAATTCGTTGCAAATGGTGCAGGGTATTAAAAGTTCGGCCCGGCCGAACTTACTGCTTTTTAACTTGTTCACCTTACAACACTGGTTGGGGTTATATACAGGTTGCAATTATTATCCGATCCTCACGAAAATTTTCACAAGGGTATGGTAAGGCTCAGAAGAGATATAATATATTTGGAGGTTGAAATGGACCAACAACTAAAAATGTTCCTGATTTTGAAGCCGTTATAAAGGTCACACACTGAAACCAAAGGACACAAAATCTCGTATAAAGTTCGAGATTAGGATAGCGAGTAGAATGGACCACTACTTTTGTGTGAAAAAATACCAACATTACTTACTGGCGATATCCGAAATACACAAAAGGCGAACTTCTGGCTTTTTTATGCTGATTTCGTTGTTGGGAAAATATCCCTGAGGGTTGGGGTTATTATATACAGTCTGCAGTTATCGTCCGATCTTCACGAAAAAGGTTAGGGTTAGGCACAAAAGGGCTAGGCCTACACCCAGAGAAAAAATGACAACATCCGTGTATGAAATGACCACATCCGTGTATGATAGTGTATCAACCACGTTTGGTGTCAAAATGAGCACGCTGTTGTCATTTTGACACCGAGATTTTGGCAACGATTTCAACAACAGATGTGCATGAAATGAGCACATACGTGGTCATTTCGAGCACGCCCCGTTGTCAGATTGTCAACGCTTCGTTGTCAGATCGTCAACGCTTCGTTGTCAGATTGTCAACGCTCCGTTGTCGGATTGTCAACGCCCGTTGTCAGATTGAAATCAATGGTGGTCATTTTTTGATATCCGTTCCTTTTCCATTTTATACCCTTAGTAGAAGAAACGACATTTTTTGAAAAGTATTTTATTGAACGAAACCAATTACATAAATTCAATATAAATACATATTTGATTTAACAAAACAATTCGAATTACATATATTCAATGTATAGAAACAAATTAAATTAACTTAAATCTGAAATAAACTTTTCCATTATTCATAGGATATAAGTGAAATGGGTAAGTAATAAAATCTAAAATTGGTATTAAAAAAATTGTATCCTCATTCAGAGAACCAACTTCATACGATTGTAAATGGTAATCAAAGTTTTTAACTTTTACTTGGTTACATAAAATGTAAACATTTTCATTTTCAATTATTAAATGTTTAATTTTGAAAAGTTCAATTGCGGCATTATTTGTTGCTAAATAATAGTTTTTTTTATACCTAGTTCCCTTAAAAAAATGTCATCAGACACTTTGCAATTTTGGTAATTTAAAACTGGCTTACTTTTTTTGTAACAATATTCCTCTTTTGCCAAATCTTCGATGGTATGCGTATTAATGATAACATTTGGTTCTAAGTTATCTTCGTGTTTTAATAAAAAATTGGAAAATTTCAATCCAGACTTAATAGATAATGAACGACAGGGATTTACTCTTGATGTAGTATTTCCTAAATAGGCTTTTGCTTCCTTGTGTTTAGCTTCGAATCTCATGCTCCAGAGATATTTAAGGGGACCACATTTTCGGATAGCTGTGGGATAGTGGACAAGAAAGTGGTGTTTCGGTTTTAACGAACCGTATAATGTTATATAAAGTGAATGGTGATCTCTAATTAATTCTTCCAATTTTATTAAATCGTCTTCTATATAACTTGGTCTTAAAAGTAAATCGATTATTTGTAATAATATTATAAAAACTTTCCAGTGATCGTTGGAGAAAGGAATTAAATCGCCTACCATTAAAGGTAAAAAATTAGTAAAACACATAGTTTCACTAGCTGTCATTTTTAAGTTATAGTTTTTCAATCTACATAAATCTAGTGGTCCAGATTTATTTCCCACTTCAATTTCTCCAAATTGGAATAAAGATTTTCTGCTGTTAATACAATCTAACGTAACAATATTTTCTTGAATCAGCCCGAGAATTACATTAGACATATCGTAGACACATATGCCCTCGAAAATGTCATGCATAATATCAAAACAAAAATTTTCAGTGACGTTAAAATTTGGTAAAGATTCGAAGATACACTTGTTTTTAATACCTGTTTCTTGAAAATTATTTTCCAATACATTTGAGTTGTAATTCTCTTGGTTTCTTAAACTATCTAAATGCTGAATTGCGTCGAATTGCATTTGGGACTTTTTTCTTCTACATACCCGGCAAAATCTTTTAGAGTTAAATGATTGCACGTAGCCTAAAATACTATTAACTGCTAAATTATCTCCAATAATTACACCTAAAATAAAATGCACCTTCTGAACACTTTGTTGAACACAAATTTCAACCCCTTCTTCTAGAATTTTTAACTCTTCTACAAGATTGTGAAATGAAACTTCATTTCCACGTTCTTTTAAATCCTTTGATGGTATAAACGCAGCAGTTAATATATAATCAAGTTTTGACAACAAGTGCTGTGGCATTGAAGGAAAGCTAATATAACAACCACATATGGAAAATGTATGGGTTCCAAGAGGATTATTAATTTGAAAATCATCCATGTAAAGGACATAGGGAATAACTAAATTGTACTGATATTTTAATAATTTAGTTTTATATAACTCACCGTTTGTAAAATTTTGTAAAACAGGTGAATTTAGGAATTTTTTGGAGTTTTCTAATGTCAAATCTAAGAGATTTGGAATTTTAAAAAGGGCACTTATCATGAATTTCAGTGGCATTATATAAATATTGGATAACTTTGGACCTAAACTGGGATTTCCGCTGATAACAATTTCCGAGACTTGATTGCTAATTACATAAACCTTTGGATCATCATAAAAGTTTAGTTCTTTTAAAATTTTTAAAAGTCTATATTCCGTTCTAGTTTCTTCGAAAGGATTTTTACAAAAGTTTAGTAAGTACCTTAAGTCTTCATAATTTGGATGATCAGTTATATATTTTTCAATTGTACATGAAATGGATGAAAGCAGAATTGAAACAGAATGTTGTATTTCTATAACATGATTTCTAGGCATATAGCTTTGACCATGTAATTGTAAAGACAGATATAAGGTTTTCTTTTTCAAAACATTTAAATCCTTTTCTATTGTATTGTTGTTAATAACAGTTTCACTGTTTGTATAATCATTTTCTTTTGATGATGACATTTCAACTGGCACATTAATGGCTTTAACCATTGGTGGAGCTTTTGTGTGATTCTTGTGAAGTTTTTCTAAATGAATTCTGAATGACGTAAATTTTGTAAATGTTTGCTTACAGTTGTCCTGAACGCATTGTACTTTTAAAAATTTAGTGGACATTAAATGGTCTGTTTTCAAATGAGCTATTAAAAGATTTGCCTTATCAAAATGCTTACGGCAACGAAAGCAAATATACATTTTGAATTGTACTTTAATTATTGTTGCAGAAATTAATAAGTGAAGTCAAATTAACTGATTTTATATCATATACAGTATTAATTTCATAAAAATATTTTTGGATAAAAATCCATGGAATTTGGCAGGCATTTGGATATTTTAAAGAAAGTGCATGAAAAATTTTAAAACATGTATCTAAACATTCGAGGAACGATTGAAATTTTAACAAATTGTGGTTAAAAAAAAACATAAAAACCTTTTATATTGAAATCGGACAAACCCTCCACAATTATAAATGGCTGTATAGTTAATCCAGCATTGTAATACTTTTCAGTGACTGTATCAATTTGCCTTTTATAATCGTTAATTGTCGGTAGTCGCAGTACGAAACTTTCCTGCGAATCAGCTATTGTTACTTTTTTTCGTAATTTACCGTTTCCACATTTAAACCTAGCAGGTGATGGTAAAACTGAATTCAACAGTATTGCGTATATATAATCTTGAGCATCTGCAACCGAAATATAAAATAAATATTACTTTTAATGTTTATGATAAATCAGGAATTAAAATTTACCTATGCTGCTTGCCGTCAAAACATTTGCGAAGAGTTGTTTGCAATATTCGTTATGAATATTTTTCCCATAATAATTGTAAATTTTTTTCTTAAATTGGTCCCATTTAGAAAGTAGAAGATTGCCTTTCTGTGGATACATAATATCGAAATCAATGTTGACCTAAAACGAAACATTAGTATCCATATACAAATAAATAGCTCATGGCTACTTACCAATTCTGAAGCTCTTGCATCGGACAACTTCGTCCATTCAAGGAGAAATGTATGGCTACTTAAATTTTTTATATCTCTTTGCCGTATGTTAAAAGATCTTTTCCATTTTTCGCAGATCGATCCCCAATCATTACATTCTCTTAGTAAGGAAGCTTTCAATGAATTTTCAACTGATTCATCAATTTCGGGAACATCTTTGTTACAAAAATTAGGAGATGTGTGAGTTGCTGCTTTGCTTGTGCTAGGCTCGGAAATCAAAAGCTTTATTCTTTTGGACTTCTTGTTTCTATACTTGGCATAAAGTTTTCCGCTTGCGTTGTTCTTTCCTTTTCTTGAAATGTAATAATAATCCTAAAAATAAAGACATATTATAAGTTAAGAAACTACATAATCAGATACGTTGTTTATATTGTTAATCTTACCCTCATTTCGTTTTCAAGAGGAAAAACGGAACAAATTTCATCCAATATGCGCATATAGTCTTGAGTGTAAAGAGTAACATTGTTGGTTAAAATATCTTCAATAATTATATTAATTATATCATCTCTTTGCTCGTCACTTAATTTCTTATTAACGCTACTACATTCAAGCGCTAGTTTCCCCTTCGAGGTATGTGTTAACAATTCCGTTAGATCCTATATTAAATAAAAAAACTACATTAACTATGCTTACACAAATATTACTCTTACCTTACCTCTGACAAAATTCCTTTGGCTTTTGAGCAGTTCGAACCTGTAGTGTCGGGAGTACCAGGAGTACTTGCAGGTGTCTCGTTGCGTTTCCACCATTCACCTATTTTAGATGGAACTGACATAGTTTCGTCATCAATCCCGAGCTATTGTTATGACAATATTAATACTGAGTTCAACTCTGTAAAACAAATAATACGTACCTTTCGTTTTTTCCAAGCAAAGAGCTTTTCTCTGAATTCAACACGCAGTCCCAATGGTGGCACTGCTTCCTTTAAATCTTCTTTTTTCAAGTACTGCAAGCTGCGAAATGTTACATGTGATGCTAAAAGAACAAAAAAGAAAATTCTTTGTTAATTACACTGATTAACTGAAAAATTCATTTTTATTTACTTACCTTTTAATTGTTCAAAAAGCGACTCCATATTTATTCCTTTTAAGAACTCCCTTAACATATAATCGTCCTCATTGTTTTCCGCATCTTGACTGCTGCAATGGTTTGTATCGCGAACCACAACAATATTGCCATCGATTTCTAACAACTCACCAATGATATTTTGAGGATCTTGCGAATTATTATTCATTTTCAATAAATTTTTTGCACAATGCGTCCTTTCTCTTTCAATAACACGGAAAAAATGGTAAATATGCAGCCGATTGCACACGAGTAAAAAAAATGACAACGGTGGTGCATGATTCATACACGGTAGTTGCTAAAATGGCAACGATCGTGTACGATTCATGCACGTCGGTGTACAAAGTAACAACGGTGGTGCATCATTATGCAGGTGGTGGTGCATAATTCATACACGACCGGTGTCATATTGACAACGACCGTGTGTGAATCATGCACCACCGTTGTCATTTTTTACTCGTGTGTAATCGGCTGCAATTACCAATATTACAAATGGACAAATTAAGCACGGCTGTTGTTGGTACCGAAAGTTGACCACGTCTCGGTGTCAATTTGAGCACGTTCGTGCACAATTCACCAACAGCCGTTGTTGAAAAATATAACAACGGGTCGTTGCGAAAATGACAACATACGTGCTTGATTTCGCAACGGGATTTTTCCCTCAGTGTATTGTTTTCAAAGATGTCCGCAATATATTTAGGGGTTGAAATGGAGCAAAAACGGAAAAAAATTCTTGATCACACAATTGAAGCTGTCGACACGCCTGAAAAGAGCGTTAAGGACAGGGAAGAATTCTAGCATTTTGGATGACCATTGCATTATATTTAGCTGTAAAATGGACCAAAACGGAGACGGCGTGCGTAAATATTGGGCAAATGTCCCTGTTCATAATGCTAAGGGTAATATCTGGGCCGTGCTCCGTAACATAATTTTAAAAGCGAAATCTTCCAAAATGGATTTGGACATAAAGGGGCTTCTAACATATTGTGGTGTTGTAGGGTATCACATGGTCGGCCCATGTTTTAGGCATATTTTTGAACGAAATTTTATGAAAGTTGGTACTAGAATTTAATAATAGTTACCACTTTCTTTGGCAGAAAAATGCTTCCGAACTCCCGATATTCGGTATTTTGATGTTTCAAGATATACTAAAAATGTTTCCAATTTGGTATATCAGAGTTCTCGTATAGAATATTTTCTTATAACGGTTAATGTTTCGTACAGCCCACATACAGGGTGAGATAAAAAAAACGAATTATGGCCTTCAAACGGCCAACGAAATCCTCACACGCTGCCTGAATGTCGCCCTACGGTATTTTTGGCCCATTTTCAGCGAAGCGCTTGTTGGAGGTGATCGACACTTTGGTACTTTTTAGTGCCAACCTTGCTTTCCGAAATAAGCCAGACACAACAGTCCAACGGATTGGTATCCGGAGATTTTGGTGACCATTGTGCTCTGGAAATAAAGCGAGGAACCTCATTTTGCAACCAATTTAGGATAGCAGTTCCTGTTGGTGGTAGGTTTGTGATAAATAGGTAATTTTGGAAGTGTGTACTATATTTCGTACAATTTGTTAATGTTTCCCATTGATTAAATAACATTTCGTTTGTTTTATGTTTTAACTTATTTTTTTTACATATTTGAGGGGCGCCACAATAAACATTTTTTTTAAACGAAGCCATAGGAAAATTTTATAACCTACACCAGTGGAGTGGTGAGGATATTATGTCTTAGTGCATTTGTTTGTAACATGGAGAAGGAAGCGAGATAGATCCATAGTTACTTTTGAAGATATTCATAAAATCATTTGTTGAGTAGTTTATGTATGTCAATCTGTCTCCGTCCGTCTGTCCATGTATTTTTGTGAAAAAAATGTAGGTCGCATTTATTATCCGATTGAGATGAAATTTTCCAAACAGTATATGTTTGGTCCAAGGACGAACCCTATTGAAGTTGTTGCAAATCGACCACAAATACCTCTGTCAAATTTTATCATGATCGGTACAACTTAAGATATAGCTCCCACATACACAGTGAGATAAAAAAAAACTGCAACAAAGTCAAATACCATAATTTTTTACATTTTTTTATTTTTATTGAATGAAAGCAAAAAACTACGGAAATAGCATCCAGTTTTAGATTAAGTTTAGATTTATTCGAATTAGTCACTTTTGACACGAATTATGGCCTTCAAACAGCCAATGAAACCGTCACACGCTGCCCGAATGTTGCTCTGCGGTATTTTGGCAAATTCCCGGCAAAGTGCTTGCTTGGGGTGACACTTTGGTATTTTTTAGTGCCAACCTTCCAAATACTCCAGACGTAATAGTCCAACGGATTGATATCCGGAGATTTTGGTGGCCATTGTGACCTGGAAATGAAGCGAGGAACCTCTTGGGTTGCGCGTACTGAGTGCGATGTTCTGTGGTCAAAATGTTAGATTAATAAGAGCGGAGAGCGACCATCGGCTGTTATGGCGGCCCACACCATCGCCATGGCCGGCGCTTGAGTTCTGGTGGCCAACCTAAGGTGCACATTTTCAGCTGACCTCTTTGGCAAGTAAACACCAAAGTAAAAACCAAATTCAGAAGTCCACCACTTTCGGCCAAGCGAAGCAACTCTCTTTTGAGTCTATTTTCATTCTGTTGCGGTGTAAGTTCTTTAACTTTTTGGAGTTTTAATGACTTTATCCCAAACTCATTTTTCAATATTTGCCGAATGGAATATTGCAATATGTTCAGCTCACGAGCCACGGCGTCGCTTCTTTACATTTCGAACCATTTCTGCTGATGTTGTAGTTTTCTACGTCCACTTCCTTGACGTCGGGCTACGCTACCAGTATCACGGTGACCAGCGATGGTACGGGACACAAAAGATTTATTCACATTTAAATGCTGGAGTGTTCTAACGATAGCCAGTCAGAGGTTTTTCAGTCTAATATAAAGGAATCACACTATCAAGCTTGAATTCCATCACGAAAAACTTTTTTCTGGAAAATTCTCTCCAAAATGCTTTTGTACGCTTGTAAATAATATAATGAGCTGTCAATGGAATAATTTTTACGGCTGTCGAACGAGTGGCTTAGAAATGACAGCAGTCTGAAGTTGGTTGCGGTTTCTTCATCTCACTCTGTATATCTTCAACCGATTTCGGGTTAATTGTGCACCAAATGGCCAATATTAGTCCAAATAACTTAAATTTAGGCACAGTCGACCGAATTCATTATAGAAGCGAATACATCAAATTTGGTGAAAATCTGTCCAGATATAGCTATAGCTCCCTTTATATATGTTTCATCCGAGTTAGCCTTTAAATCTCTCACATTCGTAATATGCACTCCGAGATCGTATAGGGCTCGGAAATACCTTTTCCCAATTTTTATCGAGATCGACTCAGATTTGAATATAGTTCCCATATATATCCTTAATCCGATTTCAAGCTGATTGTGCTAATATCCACCCAAGTGGGGTGCATTTCGGGACGTACGTTTCCATTTTGTGCAACTCGGGTCCAATATATATATTTATATACCCTCTGCCTTGAAAAAAAGGGTATATTAGCTTTATCATTTCATTTGTAACATCCCTAAATATTCGTCGTAGACCCCATAAAGTAGATATATTCCTGATAAGCATAAAATTCTAAGTCGATTTTACGATGTCCGACTGTATGTCTGTTGAAATCACGCTACAGCCCACATTATTTTACGTAAAGCTTCAACATTTAGCAGAACAATTTGTATTGTGTGTACGATGGTTGATATTGAAAATGAGATATATCGGCCCAAGATTTTTGCCACATTTTTCCACGGATTTGTCTAAAACTTGGCATTTGTAGGTCATAATGGTTTCTAGCTCGTGTGGCGAAACATTGTATGTATAGGTCCACACTTTGGTATAGCCCCATATAAAGGTACCCCCGATATTCGGTATTTTGCTTATTTTTGCCACATTTTTCCACGGATTTGTCTAAAAATTGGAATTTGTTGGCCATAATTAGATCTAGCTCCGGAGCCGGAAAATTGTATGTATAGATCCACGTTTTGGTATAGCCCCTATATAAATGTACCTCCGGGAACCTTCAAAATATGGAATATTGACAGGCAATATTCGATATTTTGGTAATTTTTGCCACATTTTCCATGGATTTGTCTATAAATTGATATTTGTAGTTCATAATGGGTTTTAAACCGGTGGCAGAGCATTGTATATTTAGTTCCAGGTTTTCCTATATCGCACATATAACGTTACCCACCGATAGTTTGTATTTTGATAATCCTAGTCGCATTTACGCCCATAATTGTTTCAAATTTGGTATTTTAGAATATTTTGGCCATATAGCGGCCTCATTCGCTTTAGAGTTTTTTGGTAAGTTTAACTGCATTATCCAAACGGTCTTACTGGTATATGCTTTTATTTAAAATGTTTCCTTTAATGTATTTTTAATAGTTTAATTTATTCCTCCTCATGCACTCTATAGCAATGTTATTTGGTAAAAAAGATAAAAATGTCTCAGTCAAATTTAGTGAAAATCGATTCAGAATTGGATATGCCTCCCATAGGTGGTGTAGGGTATCATATATTCGGCTCCAACCGACTTTTGACTTTACCTTACTGGTTCATTAATAATTAATATTCAGCTGTAGGTTTGCTTTTCTAACATTTGTTCACTGTTGTTGTGCAAAATGGTAAGGCTTAATTCCTTAAGTATTGTTTTTATAAAAACGACGTTTGTTTATTAGTGGAGAACGATGGTTATTTTTACCAGGGGGTAAGGCGGAGAATACCTAGGTTTCGGAAAAGAGCCACCAATCCTCGTCAGTTCCCTTGTTTTGTTGTTTGGTTTTTTTTTTTTTAAATCTAGAAAAACTATATATAAGCTTCTTTTTAAAATAGCTTTTCTAAATATTCGACCTGTCTACGGACCAAGAAATCTATTCTACTTTATAGGCATACATTTATAGGCATACATTTATGCTATTGGATTAGGACAAGATAATAGTAATGCGTGAAATGTTTTTTCTTTTAAAGGAAACATATTTGCGAAATGTTTAGAAAAAAAAAGTTCAGGATATTTTTCCCAGCGGTAGCTGCTTTTACAGCAATTTGCCCATACATAATTCCCGAAAAATACCAGAAAATAAAGAAATTATGAAATTACAATCTCGTTTTTGAAAAAAAAATATCGATGCAATCGTGGGAAAGTAGATCAAACGTTGGCTTGCAATCCATATGACATAGATATGATTGCAGCTGCACGATGTGTAAACGGCAGCGAAAGAAAACAAAAGACTTAAGACACAAACATGTAGTGTCATTGTTTACATGTCATTCCCCGACTTTTAACACTAACAGCGGCGCTGTGTAGCAATATCTACATAAATGAATAAATACAAATGTGCCACCGGCATCTCATTCATATGGCGAATATGAGTTTTCATAATAATAATCAACTGAAAGTGAATATGTCACTTAAAATGATCATCGTCATCATCGTGATCCGGTTACACTGGAGTATTGCCACTTTATAAATTGTCACTTTCATTTCAATAATAAGTTGTATCTCATCTTGCTGATGTGCCAATGCCCTCAAAGATCTACAATTAAGTTGGTGTTTT